GAGAAGTGAAAGAGCCCTCGAGGGTTTGAACAGCGGCATCCAAAGAATAGGTGGGAAACCCATTTTTGTTTTAAAAAGGAAAAATAAAAGTTTTCCAAAAAGCAAAGCTGCCTCTGGAGCCACAGCGGGTCACAGGCAGGACGGCAGGGGCAGATTTCCTCGACTGTGTTACAAGTAACCCATTGTGGAGCTGCCTGGCTGTAAACCGGCAGCTCTCCCCTGCCCGCGCTGCCTTTGATCTGGGAGCCCGGGCAATTAATCGCAGGCAGTTTCACTTCCTGGGTTTCATGCAGCAAGCCCGTGTTGCAACGCAAAGCTGCAAACAGTTGGCAAGTGCAATGCTTGCTTGGCACTTTGGCTTTTTTTTTTTTTTTAATTTAATTCAGGGTAATGTTTCCATTAGTCACTGATTGCAAAGGAAATTTATTTTCACAAAAATTCAGCTATTGGCCCCAGCCTAACCTGCTATCAACTACTGACTTTGACCAAACATACAATGCCTGGTGCCCTCAGAAACGGAACATTGAAAAGGCTGAGAAATGGGTCTGAGGAGGGTGCGGCGGCACGCTGCATGCTCTCCCCAGGTGCTTTTATGGTTTGGGAACCATTGACTGCACCACGGAGACCTCAGTCCCCTTCCCAAGCAGAGTATAGGCTCTGGGGGCACCATGGCCCCTCTCTAGGACCCCTTCATGGGCATCAAGGAGAGAGCACTTTGCTAGCCCTGGCACAGAAGCCAGCCAGACCCCAAACCTTTCTGTCTTTGGGTGAAACCAGCAACATGAGGGGTGAAAATCCTGGTGAACCCGGCACGGGCAGCATGTGCCCAGGAGCATTTTCAGAGACTTGAGCTGCTCTGCGCCAGAAGCCCCACACTGCTCAAAGGAAACTCCCACCCGTGCAACATGGGGAGAACCTTGACACCCAGTCCCCTGAATGGTTCGGGTGCTTGCCAACCAAAAGGAGAAGGGCCAGAGCAGAAGATTTGAATACCGGGGGTGCAGGGCTTGGGGTGCGAAGGCAGTGCACCCCTGCCTGCAGAGGCATGTGGGAGCCTTCGTCCTTCTCCTGGTCCAGCAGCTCCTCTTCATCCTGCAAGAGCTGCCTCTGCAGCTCTGCGTGGCAGGGAGCGTGTGGGAAGCGGCACAACCCCCAGAAGGGCCGTGTGCTAATTAAATAAAGATAATGAGGCTGAGAACGAGATGCCAAATCAATGCTGTGGCAACTCAGGACTAGAGCGCCAGATACCAGCCTGGCGTATCGCATTACAAAGCATGCCAAAGAAACTGCTTTCAGCCGGGCGGGATGAGCCCTCGGCTCCCGAGGGACCGGGATACAAGCTGCATTGTAACAGGGCTGAATGCGAGGTCTAATCCTGGCTCTGGATGGAGATAAAGAGGAGGAGGAGGAGGAGATCTTCAAAGACCACTGAAAGTCTGGGGAAAGGGGGAGATTTACAACAGGGCTTATCCCATCTAAGCACTAACTGGGTATTGTTATTTATTAAAATGCCATCTGGCACTCCGGAGTGCTCCTCAGCGGTGCCGTGAAACCTCAGCAGCTCCCCGGGGCGGCAGCTCTGAACCCCCAGCTCCGCGGGGCCGCATCCGCACCTCTCCCCTCGCCGCGGGTGCCGAGACGGGGTAAGGGAACCTCCGGCTGAGAGGAGAAAAGGGAGCTGCGGCTCCGGCTTCTCCCAGCCCTTCTTCAGCTGTTTCCACTTAAAACACACACGATCATATGGCGGAAAATCTGATCCTAGAAGCGCAGCGCAACTTTCCCAGAGAAACGTGAGGACGCCGCCGCTTCTGCCCGGTGAGAGGGCAGGCTGCCGGATGGAGACGTGCCCGCGGCTCCGTGCGGCTTCCCCACGTGCTGGGGAAGAAGCCGAGCCTTGGAGAGGGGGAAATTAAAGGCGCTGCGAGAGCCATCGTGTAGGACTCTGCTCGACTGGGGGGATGTGGAGAGGAGAACTCACCCTGGGCTACAGCGATGCCCTGAGGAGCCCTCAGTCCTGCCTCAGGGTGTTCCAGCTCCACACAGCCTAGATGCTGGCTGGAAACTGTGTCACCTTGTGCCCAGACCCCACTGGGAAAGAGCAAACATCCGACACGACCCAAGATCTCCCAGCCCAAGCAAGAAGGAAACCAGATCCCAGGAGCAGGGACCCTAGCACACACTTTTAAGCATGGCTTGTCACCCAGCGATGGATGCCTAGCACCAGCGTCTGTCTGCCCCAGGAGGAGCCAGATCGGCTGCTTGCAGGACTAATGCAGGAGGCCAGGGCCGCAGCCAACCTGCCCCCAAAGTCAGGGCTGTGCTGGCACCGATAGTGCCAGAGGCTCTGGTCCCTTGGCAGAGCCACAGCCCCACAGCAGCTGAGCTCTCCCTGACCAGCCACAGCAGCACGGCCAACAGCTACCCTGTTCCCACAGCCAGCGGAGCGGCCGGCCTGGCCCGAGCCACACGTCACGGGCCATCCCAAATCACATCGCCCCTGCCAAAAGCCAAGGGCTGGCGCCAAGCATCCCGTCATCGGCGAGCACGAGGCATCCAGTGCTGGGGGCCCAGCCGCTGGCCTGCTGGCCTGCTCCCCACAGAGTCTCCGGCCAAGGGCAGCACCAACCCCTCTGCCCTAAAGCCCAGCCACCATCGGGCAGCGGCCCGCATGCTGGAGACGGCTCCCGAGGACAATATCACCCCAAAGGAGAGCAACAATCATCTGGACAGATTTTTCCTTATCAACACAACCAACCTAGGGTGAAACAGCAACACCAAAGCTGTTGTGGTAGAGCACAGCAGCTGCAGGACCTTCACAGGGCTATCCTGCCGCCCAGGGCAGCTCTCCGTGTGTGAGATGCTCTTCCCTCCTCTCGGAGCAGGGACGGGACTTGCACGGGAAAACAGGGACTGTCTTCCATGCCTTCCTGCTGCTCCTCACCCTCCCCGCTCCAAGCCCTCAGTGCTGGCAGAGGGAGCCTGTATCTGCACGCATCTGGCTCGCTCCTCCCGCAGCCAGCGCAGCGAGGCCCTGCTCACCACACCAGGGTTTCCAAGCACATGCAGCGTGAAATTGTGCTTGCCAGGAACAACTACTCGCTCCAGCGATGAGCGCCACAGGAGGGAGAGCGGGGAGACACTGGACACAGCAGCAGGGGTTAGGGGGAGGTTCTGGTAACACTCAGGATCTTAAACATGCTGGGTCTCTGTTGAGAACCAAGCCTTGAGCCGTGGCTCCTGGCGAGGAGATGTGTCCCACAGAGGGTAGCGCTGGCGGACGCTAACCAGCGTGTCACAGCAGACAGCACGCGAGGCTGGACCACGAAGGCTTCCACGCTTCCAGATGCTGAGTCAAACTGCAGACCTGTCCCCTAACACACCACCCTGCCCCTTCCTCCGGGAGCCTGCCCAGCTCCCAGGCCTCCAAAACCGGACTGAGCTCAGCACAAAACTGCCTCCTCCGCATCAACGCATCCACGGGGACGAGAGCCACGCTCACCCCGCCACGCACGTACCTTGGCACTGGGTATCTTTCATGGTCGGCTCGTATCCAGCGGCGCACGTGCACGCTCCCACGGGCACCATCCCCTCGCCATCTCCCTCCGTTGCAGTACAGCTTCAAGGGTACAGACACCTCCACGGCGTTGGGGATGCAAGTGCCCGGAGCAATGACCAGCGAGGTGGGCTCGGCCCCCGTTAAAGTCTCCGGGAAGATAGCAAAGCCAGCAATGGTGTTGGAGCATTTCTTGTAGAAAGCCCGGACGGAGATGAGGGACATGCAGGCTCCCAGGTCCTGGAAGGCCAGGTAAAAGCCATTCTTGGAGAGAGGGCCAAAGCTGCGCACCTTGGTGTTCACACGTCCAGACTCCAGCTTGGAGAAGCTCTCGTCCGGGGCAATTGTATCCACTTTGATATAGGGGTTCTCCATCCAGAAAGGGCTGTTTGCAGAGGCAGAATCTGTATCCGACTCATAATAGAAGAGGTTGAAGGTCTCCTTGCAGGAGCCGGGGATGTTGGGGATGCTGTTGCAGTCCCGCACGGTGAACTTCAGCTCCACGTAGACGCGCTGGACGTCCTGGCGCTGGATGAACTTGGTGCGAAGCCAGTTGTTCTGGTTGGCCTCCCGCACGTTGCACACCTGGTACGTGCGGATGGGATTCATGGCCTCGTCGTAACCGCTGACTTCTTCCCACTGCGAGCGAGAGGGGAGCAGGTCAGACCCCCAGTCGGGGACATCAGTGCCACGGACACATTGCGAATAGCGTGGGGAGAGGGACCGGGCAAAAATCAACAGGGAAGAGCAGCAGCTGCACCTCCACCCATCCCAACCCTCCTGGTCATCAAGGTGACTAAGATCAACCTGGGCCAGGGACCATGGTGCTCCTGCTCTGCCTGCACGGAGTCAGGAGGAGATGGTTTTGTGAGGCCAGAGGATAAGCATGGGAGGGAAGGAGGAAGACTCAGCCAGCTCCACAAAGGCGCTGGCAAGCAGCCTGATTCCCATGAGGCTAGGGCCAGCCATGCCCTTTGGAGGTCGGGACCATGGCTGGCTCCAGACTTACCCCCGTCTCCGGATGAGTTGTCCATGCCAACTCAGAGGTCACCCACTTCGTGTCCATCAGGGTCTCTGGAGAGAGAAGGAGAGAAACAAGTAATTGGAGACGAAGGCCAAGATTAGAGGGGAAAAAACAGGAGGAGTGGAGGAGAGGAGAGCTGAGCCTGACATTTCTGTGGAAAACAGCAACCTGGGGGGTGAGACACAGTGGGAGGAGGGGGGAGCGGCGCAGACAGAATCCAGATTTCTCTCCTCCTGTCAGGAGAACAGGAAGAGCGAGGCGTCCCCGGAGAGCCATGCCGGAGCGGGGAAGCAGCAGGACAAGGAGCCAGCCAGGTGGCGAGGGGGGGACAGGGACAGGCTGCCACCCCTTGCCAGTGCTGACCCTCCTGGCCAGTGTGGGGGGCACCAGAGGAGGGAGACAGGGCACCCCCCTCCGCACCCTCCCCCTCTGCTTTGGCAGGGCACGTATTTACTGTGGCTGGGGTTGAAAGGGCCCGTTCCCATGACAGGGCGGTGCGGGCCAGGCAGGTTTATCCAGAGGAGGAGGGACTGGCAGGCTGCTCTCCCAGAGACGCCCCACATCACTCATTTTACAAGAGGGGAGAAGAATTTGACCGTCTGGCCAACATTCCTGGAGCAGACTACAAGACAAACCACCCCGGCAGCATTCCCCAAACAGCCCCAGCCCCAGCCTTGGGGGAGCGAGACGCTTGTCTGGGAAGAGCTGCAATTGCAGGCAGCTGTCGCTAATCCCAGGCAGAGCCCGATGGCTCCGCCAGCACCACGCGCAAAATCCAGGACCAAAACGTAGGGTTGGACAACAACGATGCGCTCCAGGGGTGGTGGCAACGGACCCTCTGTGGGGGGTCCATCCCCCGGCCCACCTAGCCCCAAGACACGGGGCAGGGCACCATGGCTCTCCAGCACCCACCCAGAGCTGGCAGCGGGCTGGGAGATGCTCGCTCTCCATGGCTGGGGCGCAGGACATGCCGGGACAGCCTGGCTGTGCCAGGCACCGCGGCTCAGCCCCAGAAGCAAGAGGCAGTTTCAACTTCTTTCCTTCCACACCAGGAAAACCACAGGCGGACCCAGCCAGGGAGGAAGTGTGGAGGAAGGAAATGTTCACGTGTCACAGGGTTTTGGATGAAGCCTGGCTGGAAACACCTTCCTGCGTCCCACCCTGGGGTGACTGGCCAGCAACTCCCCAGCCAGCACACATGGACGGGCCGGGAGCACGCGCCGCAAGTGGCCCCACGGCACAGATAAACAAGCACATTTGGGGACACGTGGGCTCTCTGAACTGCCTCACTGTTTGCCAGAATCCCAGCCTGGCTGGTGAGCCTGCCTCTTGCCCAGGCTGTGCATATAGAGCAAACACACACAGTTCCATCGCGGGCTGGTGGTGCTGGCAGCGGACATGGCACTGGAGGCAGAGTGAGGAAAACCCCTCACGGTGCCAGCTCCTCAACTGGGAGGGGGTCAGGGGCGCAGCACTTACAGCAGGAAGAACAATTTGGCACTGACTCTCGTTTGCAAACAGGAGGAGCACAGAGGTGGTTATTGGGCAGCAATTATTTGCTGTTTCTCAAAAACACAAACCAAAGCCCTCCCGCACCAAGTAGGTAATGCAAAGGGACTTGGACACAGGTTGTGCAGGATGGGGCTCCCATGGGGCAGCCTCTACCCATTCCAAGGCACTGCCCACCCAGAGGATGTGGCAAACCACCATCCCTCTCCATCTCCTTCCCCACAGCATCAGCTACTGACAGCTGGCAGGGGCCCGAGTGCAGCTCCACACGGCCACCAGACTTCCCAGTCTCTGCACCGGGGTAGCTCCCAGGGAAGGCAGCAGATGCCAGGCCATGGGGGAGCAGGTTGTGGAGCAGGGTAGCTTGTACCTCTCTGAGGGACAGGCCCTGAACGCCGGCTGCCCTAATAAGGGCACAGCGGTGCTGTGCGAGGGCCCAGGCACGCTGTGCTGGCGGCAGAGCCGAGCCAAGCGCGTGCTCGGCACCGGCAGCATGCCGGGCTGCCAAGTCTCGGCACAGAGACCCCGCGAGGGTCTGGCCAGCGAAGGGCCCCCGTTGCAGGTGCAGGCATTTGGGTGGGGGTTTCTGCAGGAGGAGTGGGAAGGGGTGCCCTGAGCGCTCAGGGATGGGGCCCCTGTGGATGAGCAGCCACGGAGGTGAGTCAGGCCAGGGAGATGAGGATTTGGGTGGCAGGGCGTGCCTGCGAGCAAGGTGGCACGATGACCCCACTGGACCTGACTGTGCTGGGAGCTTTGTCCTCCAAACCCCCTTAGGATGTCCAGGGACTCCCCTGCATGGCAGCAGGCCCCACGCAGGCAGCCCTTAACATGCTGGCCTGGCCCCAGGACATGGC